ACCATCTACCCGCCTACTACCACCAGGTCATCAATTACCCATCACCACTAGTGCCATCTATAAGCCACAGCCATCAACGACATCAGTCACTGAGCACACTACCTATTGTCCACCATAGTGCCTCTAGTGACCTCAACCTCCCCACCTCAAAACTCATCAATCGGATACTTCGAAAACTTTTCATCGACACTGAGAGCAAAATTAGTTTTTCGAACGACACTGAGTTTTATCTCAGCGTTGACTGATGAGTTCATCTGGGTTATTGGCTGACTGATCTACTGACTGATCTCCTGACTGATCTACTGACTGATCTACTGACTGACATGGGCAGGTGGCTTTAATTCTCCAGAGGTTCATAGGCTTTAAGCCCAACATCAAATTAAATTGACCGTCTCGCTATGACCCGTTGACAGAGCGACGTGGTGGTAATGTTTGGTTGCATGGGTAATTTGACTGGTTTTATCGACGGGTTGACAGCCTGCCTCACTGGTTGACGGGATGACCTGGCTTGACGGTTGATCGATTCTCCGGTAAAGTTTTTGATTCACTTCGAGCGTTTGATTGATTCTCAGATTATCTCTCTGGTCAATTGATCGCCTGTAAGTTGCTTGCTTTCACACACTACTGCTTGCTCGCACGCTCACACACACACACACACACACATAGGAAGCCTGTGGCTGAGTGGACAGCCCTCGGAACTCGTAATCCTGGGGACCGGGGTTCGATCCCCGGCGAAGGCAGAGACAAATGGGCAGAGTTTCTTTCACCCCTGATTCTCCAGTTACCTAGCTGTAAGTAGGAAACTGGGAGTTAGACAGCTGTTACGAGCTGCGTCCTGCGCGCGCGCGCGCGCGTGTGTGTGTGTGTGTGTGTGTGTGTGTGTGTGTGTGTGTGAGTAGAAACAAACAGTAGTTAGTAACAGTTGATTGATCGACAGTTGAGGGGCGGGCCGAAAGAGCAGAGTTCATCCCCTGCAAGCACAACTAGGTGAATACAACTAGGTGGATACAAACCCGTACCTTGTCAAGCACAGGACTAAGGGATGGGAACTATCAGGGGAAAGCACCGAACCATTACGACTATATAGCACTGGCTAGCTGTAAAACGTTCAGAGGTATGCCACTAGGCTAGTCCCAGAACTAAGAGGCATAAGTTACGAGGAAAGGCTGCATGAAATGCACCTAACGTCGCTGGAAGATAGCAGATCTCGGGGAGACATGATCAGTACCTACAAAATTCTAGGCAGAATCGACAGAGTAGATATAGATAAATTGTTTAACACAGAGGAGGGTACTCGAACAAGGGGACACAGGCGGAAACTGAGTACCCAAATGAGCCACAGGGACGTCAGAATGAACTTTTTCAGTGTCAGAGTAGTTAACGGATGGAATGCATTAGGCAGTGATTTGGTGGAGGCTGACTCCATACACAGTTTCAAATGTAGATATGAAATAGCCCAGTAGGCTCAGGAATGTGTACACCAGTTGATTGACAGTTGAGAGGCGGGACCACAGAGCCGAAGCTTTACCCCAGCAAGCACAACTAGATGAACACACACACACGCACTAACACTGAACATGTGCAATGTGCTCCTGAACCTTGATTAATACACGTTTTAGCAACATATTACACGCTAAATTTGGGTGTTCTCTATACACTTGCATCTGCCAATAATCTCAGCTGGATTCTCCCTGGTTGTGATCCCTGAGATTACAAGAGATTTTATTATTATAAAAATTGTGAAAGCAGAATTCAGTCCCTCTTTTCGCCGTTTGATTCCAAATTCGACAAACATTTAAATCTTTGATTCGATAAAATTGAGCGTGTTAGAATTATTTTGGTTTTAGAGTTAAATCACTCGTTATTTTCCATGCATGTGTGGGTGTGTGTGTGTGTGTGTGTGTGTGTGTGTGTGTGTGTGTGTGTGTGTGTGTGTGTGTGTGTGTGTGTGTGTGTGTGTGTGTGTGTGTGTGTGTGTGGGGGGGGGGTGTGTGTGTGTGTGTGTGTGGGTGTGTGTGTGTGTGGGTGTGTGTGTGTGTGTGTGTGTGTGTGTGTGTGTGTGTGTGTGTGTGTGTGTGTGTGTGTGTGTGTGTGTGTGTGTGTGTGTGTGTGTCTCGTGCCTGAAGGATCGAGCTGGAAGCTCTTGGGCCCTGCCTTTCTAACCGTCGGTTGTCTATTGTACTGATTCCCGACCTGTTTTTCTCCTCTCATATCTAATTATATATATTATATATATATATATATATATATATATATATATATATATATATATATATATATATATATATATATATATATATATATATATATATATACCCACATCCCCAGGATAAAACCCGTAGTAACTGTCCAATTACCAGGTTCGTATTTACTGCTAGGTGAATAGGGACTGCAGGTGAAATAAACTTTGCCTATTTGTTTCTACCTTGACTGGGAATCGAAAATGGACAATTAGGGCTACGACTCCTGAGTGCAGTCCGCTCGGCCGCGAGGACGTGCTTAAAAGGGCGTCAGCTCCTTAGCTCCGCCTCTGGTCCTGTTTAGTCCCCTCATACAACGAATCTATGTTAGCTTTAACTTCTATAACTCCCTGTTACCTAGCAGTAAAATAGGTACCTGATCTTAGTCAGCTGTCACGGGCTGCTTCCTGGGGGTGGAGGCCTGGTCGGGTACTAGGCCGCGGGGACACTAAAGCCCTGAAATAATCTCAAGAAGATCTGAAGATATAAACTTACTTCATATCGATCTATCTACTTATATCGATCTTTCTACTTATAATGATATTTCTACGTATATCGATCTATCTTCCTGTTCACTCAACATTAAATTGCATACCTGTACTCATCTATCAACAACCCACGAAAGTGCCTAGTTTGAAGTTGATGTTATGAAGTTGATTGGACTTAATGAGGGCATAATTAAATCCTATGTCGCCCCCCCTCCCTCCCCAATTAGCCGAAGGATCAAGTGCTTGTGTTTTCCAATTTAGACTAATCCTCCGACCAATTGGCAACTCAATTTTGTAAGTGGCATTTATCTTTCAAATTAAATTTTTATTGTTATCATTTACGTTAGATATTAAAAAAATTACTTTTGATATCATTCATTGTAAGACCTTGCAAGACTAATTCATTATTTTGCCATATTTGTCATTTTCTTGCAACATTTGGCCGTTCTCTTGCAACACTTGGTCATTCTCTTGCAACACTTTTGGTCATTATCTTGCAACATTTGGTCATTCTCTTGCAACACTTGGTCATTATCTTGCAACACTTGGTCATTATCTTGCAACATTTGGTCATTCTCTTGCAACACTTGGTCATTCTCTTGCAACACTTGGCCATTCTCTTGCAACACTTGGTCATTCTCTTGCAACATTTGGTCATTCTCTTGCAACACTTGGTCATTATCTTGCAACATTTGGTCATTCTCTTGCAACACTTGGTCATTCTCTTGCAACACTTGGGCATTCCCTTGCAACACTTGGTCATTCCCTTGCAACACTTGGTCATTCTCTTGCAACACTTGGTCATTCTCTTGCAACACTTGGTCATTCTCTTGCAACACTTGGGCATTCCCTTGCAACACTTGGTCATTCTCTTGCAACACTTGGTCATTCTCTTGCAACACTTGATCATTATCTTGCAACATTTGATCATTCCCTTGCAACACTTGGTCATTCGGGTCCGCCATTCAAGAGAGCGTCGGCCCTCTCCCTCCTCCCTCTCTCTTTCTTTCTACCTCTCCCTCTTCCTTTTCCTTATCACCTTTCCTCTCTCGCTCCCATTTTTCTCCTACCTTCCCCTCTCTCTCTCCTCCATCTCCCTTCCACTTCCCCCTCAATCATCAATCATCTCTCTCTCTCTCTCTCTCTCTCTCTCTCTCTCTCTCTCTCTCTCTCTCTCTCTCTCTCTCTCTCTCTCTCTCTCTCTCTCTCTCTCTCTCTCTCTCTCTCATCTCCGCTCGAACGAGACAACGTGTCGAATCGTTCTCATGCCAGACAAGGTGTTAACTAGACGCCCTCAGAGACGTCACCTCGTCCTCCAGGGAGAGAAGACGTCGCCTCGTCCTCCAGGGAGAGAAGACGTCACCTCGTCCTCCAGGGAGAGAAGACGTCACCTCGTCCTCCAGGGAGAGAAGACGTCGCCTCGTCCTCCAGGGAGAGAAGACGTCACCTCGTCCTCCAGGGAGAGAAGACGTCACCTCGTCCTCCAGGGAGAGAAGACGTCGCCTCGTCCTCCAGGGAGAGAAGACGTCAACTCGTCCTCCAGGGAGAGAATACGTCAACTCGTCCTCCAAGGAGAGAAGACGTCACCTCGTCCCCCAGGGAGAGAAGACGTCACCTCGTCCTCCAGGGAGAGAAGACGTCAACTCGTCCTCCAGGGAGAGAAGACGTCATCTCGTCCTCCAAGGAGAGAAGACGTCACCTCGTCCTCCGGGGAGAAGAAACGTCATCTCGTCCTCCAGGGAGAGAAGACGTCACCTCGTCCTCCAGGGAGAGAAGATGTCACCTCGTCCTCCAGGGAGAGAAGACGTCACCTCGTCCTCCAAGGAGAGAAGACGTCACCTCGTCCTCCAAGGAGAGAAGACGTCACCTCGTCCTCCAGGGAGAGAAGACGTCACCTCGTCCTCCAAGGAGTGGAGCGTCGCGAGCTCCTCCCATCATTTGGGTCCTCCTCGAGAAAATCAATAACCAGAGAATACAGCAACAGTAAACATTTATTTAAACATCGACGAAGTGCAACTATTTTATTTTTGTTGGCCCTTTATTCCAAATATTATTATCACTGTGTTTAATAATATTTTTATTATTATAAACATTATACTTATTTTTATTCGTATTATAAACATTATTATTATTATTATTATTATTATTATTATTATTATTATTATTATTATTATTATTATTATACAGGTAGACATAATGTACGTCTGATTGTGTGTCTGTTCATGGTTGAAGGCCAGACGCTATAAGGGCTTGTTTAACCCAACTTTTCAGGATGCCACATAGGAGGTTCGTAACTATCATAGTCAGATCACGATCCGCTCACGAGAACATTATCACGTGGGGAGTTTGACAGGGGCTGTCATCTGTCAGTTGATAATTCAGGCGTCCAAAGGCCCGCCCATCGTGAACAGAACATGTACAACCACATTGCCTCCCTTTAAAAAATATATTGGTCCCTTCAGCCTCTCCTCTCCGTCTCTGCCTTCCTGGGAATTTCATAAAGTTTGAAATAGGATTTTCCGAAAAGAGCGAAAAATAGGGAGATGGTGAGGGCGAGAGCGTGATAAATAGGGAGAGAGTGAAAGACAGAAACGAGAGAGTGGGTGGAGAATAGGGAAATAGAAGGGGTGAAAGTGGATGAGAGAGAGGTGGGTTATTGTGGGGGAGAATGGAGGAGAAAGTGGTGGGAGGAAGGATAGGAGAAGAGAGGAGGGAATGGTTTGCGATTGAGAGAGATAGCAGATAGCGAAGAGATGAGGGGGGGAGGGGGTACCAAGACCCCGAACACCGCCGGGTATCTTTTAAAGAACAAATGTAAACATATTTACACACACACACACACACTCACAATGCCGCTCACGATACCATTGATGCTAGACGAGATGCTCTGTATTATCCATTCAGATCCACATGGATAAAAATCGGCATGGGGTTATTTTTCACTTAGGTCTTGAAAGTGAACCTTCTTGGCGAAGAGATCGCTGCATCCCCCCGCAGCTCCAAGGAAGAGAAATACCTCGCTGGAAGATTGTTGCCTAAGATGTGTGTCTGTGTGTGTGTGTAGAGAGAGAGAGGAGCCTGCCCGGGCGATCTTATTTTTTTGTCCTTGTCTGAGATCAGAGACTATCCAGTGAGGCTCTCTGAGACCAGAGACTATCCAGTGAGGCTGAGACCAGAGACTATCCAGTGAGGCTCCTGAGACACAGACTATCCAGTGAGGCTCTCTGAGATCAGAGACTATCCAGTGAGGCTCTCTGAGACCAGAGACTATCCAGTGAGGCTCTCTGAGACCAGAGACTATCCAGTGAGGCTCTCTGAGACCAGAGACTATCCAGTGAGGCTCTCTGAGACCAGAGCAAGCACAGTGAGGCTCTCTGAGACCAGAGACTATCAGTGAGGCTCTCTGAGACCAGAGACTATCCAGTGAGGCTCTCTGAGACCAGAGACTATCCAGTGAGGCTCTCTGAGACCAGAGACTATCCAGTAGGCTCTCTGAGACCAGAGACTATCCAGTGAGGCTCTCTGAGACCAGAGACTATCCAGTGAGGCTCTCTGAGACCAGAGACTATCCAGTGAGGCTCTCTGAGACCAGAGACTATCCAGTGAGGCTCTCTGAGACCAGAGACTATCCAGTGAGGCTCTCTGAGACCAGAGACTATCCAGTGAGGCTCTCTGAGACCAGAGACTATCCAGTGAGGCTCTCTGAGACCAGAGACTATCCAGTGAGGCTCTCTGAGACCAGAGACTATCCAGTGAGGCTCTCTGAGACCAGAGACTATCCAGTGAGGCTCTCTGAGACCAGAGACTATCCAGTGAGGCTCTCTGAGACCAGAGACTATCCAGTGAGGCTCTCTGAGACCAGAGACTATCCAGTGAGGCTCTCTGAGACCAGAGACTATCCAGTGAGGCTCTCTGAGACCAGAGACTATCCAGTGAGGCTCTCTGAGACCAGAGACTATCCAGTGAGGCTCTCTGAGACCAGAGACTATCCAGTGAGGCTCTCTGAGACCAGAGACTATCCAGTGAGGCTCTCTGAGACCAAAGACTATCCAGTGAGGCTCTCTGAGACCAGAGACTATCCAGTGAGGCTCTCTGAGACCAGAGACTATCCAGTGAGGCTCTCTGAGACCAGAGACTATCCACTGCCTGCTCCAGAGACTCTGGATCCTGCCTCTAAGACTCCGGTGCTTGTCTTGGCAGTCATCTCGCTCATATTAATCTCAACACCTCCAGTCTAAAAAAAAAAAAAAATTCCCTTCGTGTTCAAGAGAGGAAAAATATTCTTATCTACAGCATTTTTGTCCTCGATATTATCTCGCTGAAAAACGTGGAGAGGCAGAGGTTTCATTCACACTCTGGCGAGGTTAGTGGCACTGTCGTAGATGGCGAGGTTAGTGGCACTGTCGTAGATGGCGAGGTTAGTGGCACTGTCGTAGATGGCGAGGTTAGTGGCACTGTCGTAGATGACGAGGTTAGTGTCACTGTCGTAGAGGGCGAGGTTAGTGGCACTGTCGTAGATGACGAGGTTAGTGTCACTGTCGTAGAGGGCGAGGTTAGTGGCACTGTCGTAGATGGCGAGGTTAGTGGCACTGTCGTAGATGACGAGGTTAGTGTCACTGTCGTAGAGGGCGAGATTAGTGGCACTGTCGTAGATGACGAGGTTAGTGGCACTGTCGTAGATGACGAGGTTAGTGTCACTGTCGTAGATGGCGAGATTAGTGGCACTGTCGTAGATGACGAGGTTAGTGTCACTGTCGTAGAGGGCGAGATTAGTGGCACTGTCGTAGATGACGAGGTTAGTGTCACTGTCGTAGAGGGCGAGGTTAGTGGCACTGTCGTAGATGGCGAGGTTAGTGGCACTGTCGTAGATGGCGAGGTTAGTGGCACTGATAACTGGTGCGACAGCGCCGTTGATTGCTTACTAGTTAAGGTGACTATTAACTAGTATGGGAGTGCCAATTTCTGAACAGAAGGGCAGTACCTCTCTCTCTCTCTCTCTCTCTCTCTCTCTCTCTCTCTCTCTCTCTCTCTCTCTCTCTCTCTCTCTCTCTCTCTCTCTCTCTCTCTCTCTCGCTCGTGGCTCTCCTCTCCTGGCACTGTTGACAGTGGCATCTACGGCAGTGATCCACCTCTAGCAAGCTGTTATACCTCGTTGCGTCGCTCCCCCTCCCCACCCACCTACACACGCACGCACGCACGCACACTCCAACGACCTAGTCAGTGGGCCATGTATGAGACCTCACGCTCTGGTAGTCAAGCTCCAGAGTTCAAAGTAGATCGATACAATCACGAGAATAGGTGAATATTAAACTATACTTTCGTCGAGTGAGGCACTTTTTTCATTACGAAAATGTGTATTCTGTTTCCAAAACAGATTAAAAATAAATCTTCATGCAATGCTCATCCTCCCATTCCTCCATTACCCAATCCCCCATTCCCTTATTATCCAATCTCCTTCCCCATGGGCCAATCCCAAACTCCTAATGTCCCCATTACACTAGACCCTCAAAAAATGTCCAAGAGATCTATCACACACAGTAAAGCAACCCAGAGATCTACCATACACACCAATGCAGCCAAGAAATCTACCACACACACCAAAGCAACCAATAGATCTACCACACACACACCAAAGCAACCAAGAGATCTACCACACACACACCAAAGCAACCAAGAGATCTACCACACACACTAAAGCAACCAAGAGATCTACCACACACACTAAAGCAACCAAGAGATCTACCACACACACTAAAGCAACCAAGAGATCAACACAACTAAAGAGAGATCTACCACACACACTAAAGCAACCAAGAGATCTACCACACACACTAAAGCAACCAAGAGATCTACCACACACACTAAAGCAACCAAGAGATCTACCACACACACTAAAGCAACCAAGAGATCTACCACACACACTAAAGCAACCAAGAGATCTACCACACACACCAAAGGAAACAAGAGATCTACCACACACACACACACACACACACACACACCAAAGCAACCACAAAAGAGGTTTTTATCGCTCGCCATCAGCAGGAGATAAAAAGAGAAATATTTGGTGGAAAAAAAAAAGGGTATGGAATTGTGTGAAGGAACGGAGAAAGGGGGGGGGGAAGCTTTTCCATGAGTGAGAGGGGAAACTCCTTCATGACAGAGGGAGAGAGGGAGGAAACTTTTCTAAAGAGGGGGTTGGGGGTGAGAGTAAACCTCTCCCCTGAGAGGGGAGGGGGGGGGAAGAGAAGGTAAACTGCTCCATCATACAAGTAAACCTTAAACTCTCTAGGTCACGGCGATATTTTGAACCGTTATCACCAGTGCTCAGGTAAGGGGCAAGGCGATCATGCCCAGGCGATAAGTGGCAGGCACTCTTAATGGAAGGGGGTCGAGGCTGCAGAGCATGGGAGGTAATGGGAGGAGATGGGTGGTCGGGATACGATAATGGCAAGCGGAAAATGATAAGAGTTTAAGGGGGCAACGGCAGGTGGAGAAGAGTTCAGTTTCGAGGTGGGTTTAAGGAAACGGAGCCGTTTGAAGATGATGTATCAGACTAGAGATGTTGCTGTTGTTAGTGTTGAAGGGAGGGGGATGTTGTGGGAGGGGGGTTGTGGAAAGGGGGATGTTGAGGGAGGAAGGATGATATGCGAGGGGTGAGAAGAAGAAGGGGTGATGTTATAGGAAGGTGGAGAGGGTGGGGGTGGGGGTGTGGGGGGGGGGGATGGATGCTGTGAGAGGGGAACATTTTGTGGACTGAGTGACGTTTGTGGGAAAGGGTAATAATACTTGTGGGAGGGGGGGTTCATGTCGCAATAGAAGCGATTCAGTGGGACGGGTTAGGTGAAGCACATACAAGCATCCCACATATGTGGGAGCAGAACCTGGAAATGCAACATCGCGTCCTGTCTAGTCACATATATAAACCGTACAGAAACAAGATATCAACAGCGGCTGACATAATCAAAATATCTACAATGGTTTGCTTTAAGCAAGATATCACCGATGGCATACGTATATACCTTAGCGACTTACTTCCCTAAACACGATATCTTCGATTATTCAGGAAAATATGGAAACCTTAAGGCTCCCCAGCATTAAGGAACCTCTTCACTAGAGTCCTTCAACAGACAGTACACCGTAAGATCAAGACGCACAGGTAAGAGCACTGGTAGAAACCCAACATCTTAACTACATTAAGCAACTTTAATAAAATCCCGAGGCTCGCTACCAGGCTGGGATACGTGGCTCCTGAACCTGAGAATCTCGTCTGTGTTTGCAAACGAGGGGAGATAATTACACGTCGCTGGAGAAGAAGCTGAGGGGACTTGCTAATTACTGATTGTGGTATTGACAAGTTGGGAAATAACTCCTTGTTTGACAGGAGTGGGGCCAGGATAAGAGGGACACAAGTGTGAGATTAGGATGAGGATCCTGATAAGGGGGGGATCAGAGGGGATTAGGGGTAAGGGGGGGGGGGAAAGAGTTGGACGAGGGGACACGAGTTAACCCGAGCTACTGCTGTGAACACAACAGTGGGATTACCACAATGGGATACATATGAAAAGATGAATACTCAATATATCGAGTACGAGAGCAGAGGAAGGAGAGGTTAACTGCATACTTGTAGCAGGAGAGATGGCCTCTGAGGCCTCCTTCCTTCAGGAAGAAGAGGTAGTGTAGACACTGCCTTGAGTGGAATAGAGGGAGGAGGAAGTGGAGGATATCTATACATGGAGTACGAGCAGAGGAAGTGGAGAACACCTCCACCTCACTTGTAACTTTAATAATATATACCTGGTTATAAAGTTATCATAAGAATCGATTGAAAAATCGAGAGAAAACTAACGAAATTGACCTTGAAGTGTCAATTTTTCATCAATTGTCCTCATCTAAGTGGGATATCTGATATAAGAATGATTACATGTTTGTAAACAAAGCATTTTGATGAAACGGAAGACGCTAAGTTTACTCCTTATTAACTCTTAATATCCAAAAAGAGACCTTTTATTCAAACTAATTATGAAAAAGATATGCAAAAAAAAGTATAATTTTCACAAGTTAAAATTCACTCTCAACACTAAACCGCTATATTTTGTTGGAAAATATACATTACATTAGAGAGAGTCAGCTCTGTAACCAAAGATAATTGAAGTTGACCTCTAATAATTGAAGTTGAAAATCCAGGAATTGAAGGTTGATCCAAGCAATAACTCCTGTTCAGGAACACACCCTCCGCAAGATCTTACATCTAACCGCACCTTAAACCACTAAACAAAATAATAATACTAATAATAATAACACCCACTCCCTCCCTCTCATCCGTACGGTCAAACACAATAAACCAACAGTTCTAAAGTCGGGGCTTATGAGTTGAAGTTGTATGTCACACACACACACACACACACACACACACACACACACACACCACACAAGCACACACACACACACACACACACACACACACACACACACACACACACACACAAACCCACCCACCCACACACCTAAGATCATAAAAGCGATTTCCTCCATTAACGCAAAATGTTGTGGACTTTGACGTGAGGGACACTGAGGAGCGAGTAACACACTCGCCTCAATTGCCTCCTCCGCTCCTAATGCGCTTTTAAGCAACAGTTTGTCGAGGAACGCTTCAAACAGCATAAAAAAAACTCAGGCCACGCAGCGATAATTCTAAGCTTTTTATGCATCACGCCACGTTTTAAGCTGCTTATTTACTTGGGGGGGGGGAGGGGGGGTTGTAGCAGGAGGTGAAGGACTATAGGGACTGATGGGGGGGGGGGGGGGAGGGAGGGAGGAGACAGGGGGAAGGGGGAGATGGGGGAGGAGGAGGGAGTGTAAAGAGGAAAGCAAGGGAATCAAGATGGAAAGGGACGAGTGAGAGGGGACGAACTTGTTATGGGAATTAAGAGAGAAAGAGGGGAGGAGATAACGAAGGGAAGAAAATCGAGCAAGATGTTTAAGGAAGAGAGAGAGAAAGAGAAACAGAGAGAGAGAGAGAGAGAGAGAGAGAGAGAGAGAGAGAGAGAGAGAGAGAGGGGGGGGGGGGCGAGATTATGCATATATTATATATATATATATATATATATATATATATATATATATATATATATATATATATATATATATATATATATATATATATATATATATATATATATATATATATATAATATTATAAGCAGCAACGATCACAAAAACACTGATCCAAGTATGTGAAAAAACACACATTTGAAGAATTAGTTCTTGATGACTAGATGACTCTTTACCTTGCTCTGATGAAGGCGAATTGAGTCCAAAACGCGTTCAGCAGTTCTCTAGTTCTTCAAAAGTGGGTTTTCATCATAGTATATTATATATATCATACATATAAATAATTATAATACAATTATTAATACAATTATGATATTATATTATCATATAATACAATATGAACGAGTGGACGGAAAGATTAGGAACCAAGCTAAGCCCGTCAATCTGTCTTTCGACGTATGTCAACTGCCTTCGTCTGTCTATAACGATGACGTCAATTAAGTCTTATTATGTCAATTCTCATTATCCAGCAGGACGACCGGGTCAGTACTTGACACACCCTTCTCTCTGTTCTCTTAACACAACTACGTTCAACGTACATGGCTTTGTTCTTCAAACACCCTTCTGTTCTCAGACACACTCAGCTTTGTTCTTCATTCATGGCTTTCTGTGTGTGTGTGTGTACTCACTTATATGTACTCACCTATTTATGCCGACAGGATCGAGCTCTTGGACCCCGCTTTTCTTGTCGCTGGTTGTCTTATGCAATGACTCATGGCCTATTTCCCTATCATACCTGCTTTAAAAGTTATGAATGGAGTTTGCCTCTACAACCTGCTCCTTTAGGTCATCCCATCTACTCACTACCCATAAGCTAAAAGAAAACTTTCTAACGTATCTTTGAAACATCCATGTCTCAAGCTTAAATCCGTTCCCCTCTGTTCTATTGATATTCATTGTAAACATTTTCTCTGTTTCTACCCTGTCAATCCGTCTAAGTATTTTATACGTGAGTATCACGTCCCTCTCTCTCTCTCTCTCTCTCTCTCTCTCTCTCTCTCTCTCTCTCTCTCTCTCTCTCTCTCTCTCTCTCTCTCTCTCTCTCTCTCTCTCTCCTCTTTTATATCGTCAGGTTTAATTCCTTCAGTCTCTATTCGTGCCTCATCCCTCGCAGCTCTGGTACGAGTTTCGTTGCAAACGTCTGCACCTTTTCGAGCTTCCTTGTATGTTTTTTTTGGATGGAGGCTCCACGATGGGACGGCATACACTAAAACTGGCCTCACATAGGTGGTATATAGTGGTCTAATAGCCTCGTTATTCAAGTCTCTGAAGGATGTTCTGACTTTTGCCAGTGTAGAGTATGCGGCTGACGTTTTCTATTTATATGAGCTTCTGGAGCTAGGTTTTGTGTTATATCCAATCCCAGATCTTTTTCTGTAGTCGTTATAGGGAGGTAGTCTCTCTTCATCTGGTATTGGTCTTTCGGTCTCCCGGCTTCTGATTCCATTTCCATCACCCTACACTTGCTGGTGTTGAATTCTAGCAGCTTCCAGCAGGCTTTTTGGCAGTCCAGAAATATGCAATCTGCCTAGCTTTCCCTGTCCTGTTTTATTTTCGTCATCTTATACAAATTCCGGAGGTTCGTCACGTATGATTTCCCTTCTCTAAAGCCGTGTTGTTGTTTACTTACAAACTTAATTCTTTCGAGGTGTGCAATTGGTCTTAACTTTATAATTATTTCAAGTACTTGACAAGGAATACTTGTGAGTAACTCTGGTCTATAGTTAAGTGTCTTTTTTTCTATCTTCTATAGATTGGCATCATCCAGCAGCTGGGCATTTCCCCTTTTGAAAGTGACTCATTTAAGATTTGTGCTAGAGGTATGCTGAGGGCCTCTGCTGCTTCTTTTAACATCCATGGTAATACTCTATCCAGTCCAGTAGCTTTAGTCACATCCAGTGATGCTGGCTGTATTCTTACTTCCTCCGCTGTTACCTCAATATTTATTAGTTTCTCTTCAAGGGGGCTGCTTCTTCATCTTGCTCTGAGAGCTGTTCAGGCTCAGGAGTGAACACTCTACGAAAGCTGGTATTGAGCGCCTCACGAATGTCTTAATCGTCTTCTGTATACTGGCCTCCTCTTTTTCGTAACCTGTTCACTTGGTCATTCACTGTCATTTTCCTTCTTTTATGACTACGTAGGAGTTTTGAAGTTTTGTCTCTTTGCTTTGGAGGCAATATAATTTTCATAGTTTCTTTCTGCCAATCTTCTTATGTTTATGCAGTTATTCTTGGCCCTGTTGCATCTATTCCGGTTTATCTCTGTCCATTGCTTATTGTGTTTCCTCCACTTCCTCCACCTCTTTGCTTTTGCTTCCTGGCACTGTATGTGTATTCACCTAGTTGTGCTTGCGGGGGTTGGGCTCTGCTTTTTCGGCTCGCCTCTCAACTGTCAATCAACCAACCATTACTAACAAAAAAATTTTTCACACACACACACACAAACACACACACACACACACACACACACACACACACACACACACACACACACACACACACACACACACACACACACATGGGCTGCTTCCTGTGTGTGTGTGTAACAGCTAACTCCCAGGTACCTATTTGCTGCTAGGCAACAAGTGCATCAGGGTGAAAAAAAACTCTGCTCATTTGTCTCTGCCGGCACCGGGAATCGAACCGGAAATACAGGATTACAAGTCCCGCGCGCTGTCCACTCAGCTACCAGACTTGTGTGTGTGTGTGTGTGTGTGTGTGTGTGTGTGTGTGTGTGTGTGCACAAATGTAAATTAAACACACACACACACACAGGTGTGTATAAGTTACACTTGCACAGGTAACATAAATGACTTCGTGAAATCAAAACAGTTAAATGTTATTTCATGTCATAAAGTGAGAGACAAACAGACTGAACATTGATGAAGTGTTTATCCCCATTATTTGGTCACGTGCTTCATGCATGTGTTTTCAAATATTCATTTATTTGTGTCAGCTGAATGTTTTGGACTCGTATGGATTCGCGACACGGGGAGGTACTGTGGGAGGGAGAGTGCGAGGGAGAGGAGAGAGGGAGAGAGAGAGGGAGGGAGAGAGCGAGGGAGAGAGAGAGGAAGGGAGGGAGGGAGGGAGAGAGCGAGGGAGGGAGAGAGCGAGGGAGGAGGGAGCGAGGGAGAGAGAGAGCGAGGGAGAGAGAGAGCGAGGGAGAGAGAGAGAGCGAGGGAGAGAGAGAGAGAGGGAGAGAGCGAAGGAAAATAATGACATAGTCGACGAAACGCACCTCTCTAAGTGTCAGGTTATAATCAAACTGTTAAATAAACTTTGGAAAGTTAACTTTTCAAATTCCTTCTCAAACGGAGAAGGACTTAATAAGAAATGTAGTGAAGATTCGTGCTACAACCATCGATCTCACCCGTCACCTTAAATAAGCTATGTGTAACAAGAAAGATTGATACCAATATATATATAGTTGCTATATTCCCTCCCGATACACAACACCCCCCAGCTAGAGACACTGAGAGCGGGGGGAGGGGGGGGGGTTACCTGGGGAGCGGCACTGTACCTGTGGATCCCGATGTCATCGAGAGTTCGCTGGCTCATCCGGGGCTCCGGCGAGATACGCCATCACCGGTATGCGTAATGCTGAGTCAACGACACCAGGAGTGTTGCGTAAACACGGGCGGGGACCTCCGGTGGCGCTAGGGGGGGCAAGAGTCGGGAAGGGAGAGAGAGAGAGAGAGAGAGAGAGAGAGAGAGAGAGAGAGAGAGACAGACAGATAGACAGACAGACAGACAGAGGGAGTGGTTGGGGGGCGGGGTGTTTACCAAAAGTAGCAGTAGTTAAGGACTACTGCTCACACATATAGACAAACAGGTAATCATGCACAAAATTAGCCTCAAGAAATTATTCATTAAAGGCAAAACTATCATCAAACCACCTCCCCCCTCCCCCCCTCCCCTCAAAAAAAATGAGGAGAAAGAAAAATGAAAATAAAGCTAACAACTGAAACTTCTTCTCCTATCATGATAGATGGAAAAAGAATAAAATTGTCTTGAAGCTCGGCCGCCGGAGCCTCTATCACCCGCAGATCACCTCCGTGAAAAATGGGCCCCGAGGATCGAGCTCTTTCTTGCCTGAGCTTTCACCACCACTCCTCCCTTTTACCTTTTCACTTACCTTGCTTTTGAACCTCTGGTTCTGATCGCAGCAGACTTAGAAAACCCCTATAGAAATCCCTATAGAACTTCCTATACAACTTCACTAATCCACTCATCAGATAAACCAAAATTTTCCATGTTATGTGAATTCGATGTTTAGGATAAGAATAACTTAATAACTGTCTTCTGTATTCGGCCTTTTCTGCCAGTTCCAAAAATGGACTTGATTCCGGGTCTTCAAATCCCTTTCACAGACGAATATTCTAGTGGCTTGAATCCGCTACGTGATTGGAATAGTTAAGTGATTGATAATTTTTTTTCCGTGGTCCTACAGGCAATTTAATGGGTATTCAGGTGAGGGGAAGGGGGGTGGTACTGGTCCTTGTGGTTGGGGTGGGTGGTGGTGTTGGTTGCCGTGGTTGGGGTGGGGGTGGGGGTGGGGGTGGGGGGAGTGGTCGTGGGGAGGATTAATGAAATCGCGTAGACTCTGGTGAGTTTCTTGAAATGTGATCGATAAATGGGTGTTGTTGAGGGATGGGTGTAAGCTTTAATGATGGGGTAGGAGGTGGTGGTGGCAGGGATGGTGGTGGTGGTGGCAGGGTTGGTGGTGGTGGTGGTGGTGGTGGTGGTGGCAGGGTTGGTGGTGGTGGTGGCAGGGTTGGTGGTGGTGGTGGTGGTGGTGGTGGCAGGGATGGTGGTGGTGGTGGCAGGGATGGTGGTGGTGGTGGCAGGGTTGGTGGTGGTGGTGACAGGGTTGGTGGTGCTGGCGGTGATAGTGGTGGATATGATGGTGGTTGTGGTAGCACTGGAGTAAGTTCGTAGCCGTAGAATAAGTGATGGTGGTGGTGGTGGTGGTGATGGTGGTGGTGGTGGTGGTGGTGGTGATGGTGGTGGTGGTGGTGGTGGTGATGGTGGTGGTGGTGGTGATGGTGGTGGTGGTAATGGTGCCACAATACTGGCGGTGTTAGAGGTGGTAGAGGTATCGTGACTCAAGTGTTGGTGGTTGGTGCTAGAGACGATTATAATATTGACATGATCATGCAAGAGGTACTGAATTGTGAATAAAGAATATGTGTGTGTGTGTGTATAATCACCTAGTTGTGCATGCGGGGGTTGAGCTTCGGCTCTTTGGTCCCGACTCTCAACCGTCAATCAACAGGTGTACTGGTTCCTCAGCCTATTTTGCTCTATCATATCTACACTTATAACTGTGTATGGAGTCTGCCTCCAACACATCACTTCCTAATGCATTTTATTTATTAACTACTCTGACACTAAAAAAAATCTGTCTGATGTCTCTATTAGAAAGATTTGTCCTTTGGGCACTCAATTTCCACCTGTGTTCCCTGGTGCGTGTGCCCCTTGTGTTAAATAAACTGTGTCTACCTTATTAATTCCTTTGAGAATCTTATATGTGGTGATCCTGTCCCCCCTAACTCTCCTGTCTTCCAGCGACGAGAGGTTTAATTCCTGTAGTCTCTCCTCCTAGCCTATGCCCCTCAGTTCGGGCACTAGTCTGGTGGCAAACCTCTGAGCCTTCTCGAATTTAGTTTTATGCTTGACGAGATATGGATTCCATGCTAGAGCTGCATACTCCAGGATTGGTCTGACATACGTGATATACAAGGTTCTGAATGATTCCTTACACAAGTTTCTTAAGATCGTTCTTATGTTGGCCAACCTGGCACATGTCGCTGATGATATCCTTTTGATGTGGGCTTCGGGGGACAGGTCTGGCGTGATATCAACCCCAAGTCTTTCCCTCTCTCCGATTCTTGAAGAATTTCATCTCCCAAATGATTCCTAATATCTGGCCTCCTGCTCCCTATACCTATTATCATTACATTACACTTGCTTGGGATAAACTCTAACATCCATATGTTGGACCATTCCTTCAGTGTGTCCAGGTCTTCTTGAAGCCTCATTCTGTCCTCCTGTCTTAATCCTTCTTATAATTTTTGCATTATCATCAAACATTGAGAGGAATGAGTCTATGCCCTCTGGAAGATCATTTACGTATATCAGAAACAGGATAGCTCCGAGTACAGAACCCTGTGGGACTCCGCCGGTGACTTCACGCCAATCTGAGGTCTCACCCCTCGCAGTCACTTTCTGCTTCCTAATGCTTAGGTACTCCCTTATCCACTGGAGCACCCTATCAGTTACTCCTGCCTGTTTCTCCAACTTATGCACCAGCCTCATATGGAGCACTGTGACAAAGGCTTTCCGGCCCTCCAATGCTTTGTGTGTGTGTGTGTGTGAGAGAGAGAGAGAGAGAGAGAGAGAGAGAGAGAGAGAGAGAGAGAGAGAGAGAGAGAGAGAGAGAGAGAGAGAGAGAGAGAGAGAGAGAGAGAGAGAGAGAGAGAGAGAGAGAGAGGAAATGGGAGGGTAAGAGCATCAGACACCTAGAAGAAATCTTCCCGGACTTGTGCTCCTCAGGTTTCTCCTTCGGTCATAAGTTTCTCGGATTATCAGCAACAACGTCCAGCGATTAACGCCACTGCTGACTGACTCACAGCAGCTCCATCTATTCATTCACACGCAAACACGATCCTTGGGACCCAAAAAACACTGCAAATACACCGGCTGGAAATTATGAATAACATCGCTAGGTTTAAGCTGCTTACACACAGATGGTGTTGACACAGATGGTGACTCAGATGGTGTTGACACAGATGGTGGTGACACAGATGGAGTAAACACAGAGACACAGATTGTGTCTCCTCTTTCACACATCCTCAGCGAGTTAACCTTCCCCCCCCCCCCCTTCCCATTTCCCATTGACCTGTTGCGTCTCATGAATGGGTTACAAGGTATTCATAGTTAAGATATTCATAGGTAAGTTATTCATAGGTAAGGTATTCATAGGCTGGCGTGAGGGGTAAGGGGAGGGAGGGGGGGGAAGTGTCTTGAACTTGTCTTGAGTATTATTTATTTTCGCTTTTTATGTAATATTGACTTTTTTTTTAATGTTTTGTCTCCTTGTTTGTGTTTTCTTTCTCTGTTCATCTACCATTTATTTGTTTATTTCATTTTATATGTTTAAATTAATGCATCTTGTTTATTTCTATGGATTCATTGTCTGAACTGATAAATCTATCTTAACCACTCCTAATCTTAACTTAATCTAGTCAAACTTAGTTTGTCTTAATCTAACTAGATTTATCGTAATATGATTTGACCAATCTTAACCTAACTTGACCTGTCTTAACCTGACTTGATCTATACTAAGCTAATTTGACCAATCTTAAACCTAACTTTACTTATTCAACCCTAATTTTAAATATTTTTTTTCCCTAAAGTTAACCTAACTTAGTACTGTCCATCCGAAATGAAAATAGTTCCTCCCCCTCCCTTCAAAATCTGACATCAGTATCAGTGCAAGAAGATTGATGGCAACAGTGATCTCACTACACTTATTCACTGCCTGCCCCGTCATAACTCTCTCGTCGGAAATTCCTGTCACCTCTATTCACCTGTCACCTCTACACACCTGTCTCCTCTACACACCTGTCTTCTCTACACACCTGTCTCCTCTACACACCTGTTTTCCTGAACACACCTAGTTGTCTCCTCGTATTCAGTTCTGAAAAATACTATCACTTCATTATTCACAAATTTCTATATTTAAGTTATGGTGATTCACCTCAACATTTCTCCTCCACATGATAGATAGATCCATTGCCGAAAGCAGTACATCGCGTTTTTTTCATAAATCTTAGAATAATGTAGGTAATCTATTATTTCCTAGGGCATTGGCATGGCGATATTTACGTGTTATGGTCTAAGGGGTGACTCTTTTACTGGCTTTTGGGGCGGGATGTAACCACCTTGTTGTGCTTGCAGGGGGGGGGGGTAGTTGAGCTTCGGCTCTTTGGTCCCGCCTCTCAACTGTTCTTCAACTGGTGTACCGGTTCCTGAACCTATTAGACTCTAGCATATGTACATTTGAAACTGTGTATGGGGTCAGCCTCCATCACATCACGTCCTAGTGCATTCCATTTGTTAACTACTCTGGCACTGAAAAAGTTCTTTCAAATGTCTCTGTGGCCCATTTGAGTACTAAGATTCCACCTGTGTCCCTTTGTTAGTGTTCCACCCATGCTAAATAATTTGTCTTTATCCACCCTGCCAATTTCTCTAAGAATTTTATAGCTGGTGATGATGTCTCCTCTGACTACTATGTCTTCCTGGGATGTGAGGTTTAATTTCCGTAGCCTTTACACGTAGCTCATACCTCTCAGCTCTAGAACTAGTCTAGTAGCATACCTTTCAATCTTCTCTAACTTTTGTGCTGAGCTACGTATACACTCCAGGATTGGTCTGACATATGCGATAGACAAGGTTCTGAATGATTATTTACACGAGTTTCTAAAGGCAGTTCTCATGTTTTCAACCTGGCATACGCCGCTGATGATATCCATTCGATGTGGGCTTCTGGGGACAGTAGAAGCTTCTGCCATGTTTCATCA